TTAGTCAGCAATACAGGCAAAAGAATGTTCTAAGTGTGCAACAAGCATTGTAAAACAAAATAAGTGAACTAAAATTCAACTATAAGAAGTACCTTAGAATCAAGTAGACTATTTCCAACAAGGTGAGATCAAAAGCTATGCCCGCAGACAGTTCAGTGTAAGAATGATCCTAATTCACTCAAAGGAAATCACATTGTAAAACAACATATTATCAGTGTATCGCACAACCACAACGAGAAGCACTACAAATAGAGATTAAATGGTGACAAAGACAAATGATTAAGGATCAAATCAATATATGATATGCATATAAATATGCCTACCATGTTGACAGCCCCGTGAATCACCGGAATGCCATAAGATGCTGAAGCTATACATAGTTTGCAATCCGATACGCTATGATATTCACCTTTCCTCATATGGTCTTCACATGTTATGAAGTGATCAATCTTATTCAGTTATCATATACTCAGCAGCGTAAAGGGATGTACATATGTGTATATGATAGTTTATGTGATGTTTGTAATAACTAAAATGCAAATATTTCGGTCAGATCGCTGGTAAACAATCAGTGACTTCTTCTTCCGTATAGCTTACTGAACTTCCGCAAATGACGCACTGTCCAAAATTGTATTCAAATATTATCAAAAAAATACTTTTATGCGATAGAATCTTTGTTTCTATTCGAAAATAATTACCTATTTTAAAAATGCAACACCAACTCAACAATACCATCCAGCAGCTCTACAGTCCAAAGGTTTCTCAAGTACAAAATATATACATAGTACAATAAAATTAACTGAGCAAATAAAGCATTTAACTGTTTCAGAATCAATAAGAATGTTCTCAACATTCTGGGATTAAACCTCTGTCTGGAAGAACTAAACAGATAAAAACACGTTTCCCACAGATTGTTCAAGGTCAAGTAGTCAATCCACAAAGTAGCCACTGAATTCATTCAAACAAAGTTGTCCTCATAAAACAACACATTGCTGAGAATACTATAAGACAGTAGCAAAGAGGAGAATGAAAAATACGAATCAATCAACAACAAAGACAAAGATTCAGGACTAAATTTCTATAGTTTGGTATGTAAGGGTTAGTTTTGTTTTTAATCTGATGCTAACTAGTGACTTGCTACAGGATGAGGTTTCCTGGAATTCTAGTGAGAAGTTGTGACCAGTGAGGTCCACCCAGATGTCAAGTGTGAGAATGGATGTCCCACCAACGACATTGGTTCGGGTCGCGCTAAATCACGAATCGGTATGAGTTAGAATTCATGAGACATTGAATCGGGTCCCAGTGGCTGAATGGTATACGAGCTTGCCTTGTAACCGGAAGCTCCTGGTTTCGAACCCCAGTTGGTGGGTGCATACTGCCAATGATTCCCAAACTAGGGTGAAACAGCTGTCCAGTACTCCCGAGTTTTCAATGGTTCTCTAACTGATATCAATTCAGGACTAAGTCAAAAATAGATGTACAAATATTAGAACAATAATGTATCTATCAAGGGGAAAGGGTAATAACTGGTAATGATATAATAATAATAATAGTTGAAACATTCAAATGAGTATTAATATTGCAAAGAGATCGTTCATAGTGAGATTTCCACATCAACTATTCTGCTACAATACTAAAATAACAAACAGTTACATACTTTAAATATGAGAAAATCTGAGTAAACAACTGTTTACCTTCAGAATTATAAATGACAGGCAGGTGATGTCCATTTTGTAAATAATTAAATCAAGATCAATATCATTCCACTTATTAGTTTAACAGCATTAGATTAAATCTATTATGGTATTATTTCTCGTCAACTTTTGTTCATGTCTTTTGTTACCTCTACTGTACAACAAAACTCATGAATTGATAAAATATAGAAAATATATAGTGAGAGGAAATTATTGGGAACAACTTTTGTTTTTTGCTCAAATACTTCTGTTTTTTTTCTGTATATTTAAACAGAATTTCATATTACTGACAAAAATAAACAGTTAATTTAGAAAACACACAAGAGCAGATTAAAAGTAAAATTGATCGAATGTACCTTGATTTATAATATTAACTTAGAAATACAGATCCATTTGGGAGATTTGCAAGGGGATATAATATTTCAGAGTAGCTTTTAACATGATTTGACGACAGCAAGATAGACATCGAGACTGAAAGAGTTTTGGAAGACTACTTTACTGTAGTTAAAAACTCTAAATTGGCGCACAACTAAACACACTAAAAAAATCAGACCCCTAGACTTTCAGATTTTGCAACAAATATGTTAATATACAGCCACTCAGAATAAGGAGACTTGTATCCTTCAATCTCTTTTAAATATCTCTGTAGTTAGAGCAGTTTTTTATAGACTTTTGAACGGAATCTAGTTAAACTAAAATAATAAAATTTCACTTAAAAAAGTGTTGTTTCTATTTTTGTTTTCATTAGAGGGACTGAATGAAGACGCTTATAAAACACAAGCTTTCATTGCCAATAAACAGATGTCACTTTAGAAGAAACTGACAGAATACTGATGTTTTTAAGTTTCCAGTTTGAAGAGATCCGACTGATTTCAAAATAGATTTCATCATGAATTAAAATCATTAAGAGAACTATTGAAAACCAGGTAGAATTGGGCAGCTATTTTGACCTACTTGTTTACCCTTCAGTTGTACGAACTAGTGATCGTGCCAAGATCCCTCATCTTTCGAGGTGAGCACGTTGCTATTCATCACATGGGTCACAATCTAGCAGCTTCTGTCACTTTTCGGTGGTCATATCTGGGTGTCTGTCAGTTTCTTCTCTTATTATTTTTGTCTCCATCTTTGCAGCTGATTATTGTTTGCCCTTTACTTCTCATCTCCTCGATTTACAAGATACAGTGGATCACGCTGCGATGTAGCCATGGCTAGACATCGATTGTGATAACTTTTCTTACCATTTCTAACCATTGTAGAGGTTCACGGTTAATTTTTTTAATTCCTTCACGCTACCAGTGGAACACAGGGTTTCAAGCTAAAGGCTTGAAGTTTCTGTAGCAGTGTTTATTTTTAGAGGAATGGATTGCTAGCCTCATGCCCAACCTTTCCTCTTAACCAGCATTATTTCTGGCTCAGCGAGGTAAAGGAGTGCGTCGACCGGGGATCGAACCCCGGACCATGTGCATGGTCGGCGAGCATCCTAACCACTGTGTCACCAACGCACTCACGGGCAATTCAGATATGACGACTAAGCAGGTAAGTTCTCTACCACCAAAATGGTCGCTAAACACTCCTTCAAAGTAAAGAGTGATCCTACCAATCCAAATAACATTCATTTAAACTGTTACTATTTCTGATTCCGTCGTTTTCTTCTACAGGTACCCGTCAATAACCTGAGAGTAGATCCAAAACTGTGAATACCTAATCCTTCCACGAATACAGTATCATTTTTCTGTTACGGTAAAAATAGCACATGGGTTTAGTTCGGCTAAGTTACTCAGCTCTGCATTACTTCCCTGTCTTTATGTATCAGAAACTGTCTGCTCCTCATGTTGACTTTTCTATTCACCATATGAATCACCATGCTTACTTACTTCAGAAAATTTCCTCCCAGTATTCTTCGCTGTATACTATATGTTAGAACAAAACGGGTGGCTTATTCTACAACATAGACAGTCTGTCCTCCTGAGGTCTAAACTGCTCATGCACATTCGCATTACGTTTTAAAGCTGCTCTTTAACTACAACAGAAACTGCCACGCCTGTGTCACTGAAAAACTATTCATCGCCTCTTTACTCGAATTCTTTCGTACACAGCACCACCAACTATTAATCCCACAGTCAGATGAGGAAAAGAAGGGAATTTGCATTGATGAAAAATTTCTACATCTTTGTTCAAAGCCACTGTTCGCTAGTGCTCCGTTCTTCCACAAAATAAACATCTGTCCATCTGACCAATGCAGTTACTCGAATTATCATCCAATCTTATTGGCTTCTATGCAGTTGTTCATAACTGATGTCCAGTGACCTTTGCTAGTTCGTTGATGCCTGCAGGTTGGGTTGCATTCACTTACTACAGCTGGTAAGTGATGGTCTTAGAGATTCCGTCTATAGGTTGCAAAATTAAGTGTTATTAAGTGTCAGTTTGCAGTCACTTGATTAATTACAAATTTGATGAGCCATAGGAAAACCAGGCACTCTTTGTCATTATGCACCAATCAGGGTTCAAACTCGAGATTTTCCGGTTACAAGACGAGCTTGTAGACCATTCAGTCACTGGAACCCAATCCAATGGCTCGTGAATTCTAACTTCTGACAATTTCAGACATACAGCAAAACTCCCAGCCAATATCATCGGCGAACAACTGTTCTCCTGCCTAACTCGGTGGACCCCGCTGCTGAAAACTGCTCACCATAACTCCAGGTAACCTCCTGCAATTACTTAATCGCCAGTGAGCTTCAGATTAATCATCACTTGTTACTTTGCCTGGATTTTATTGGTTACAGGCTTTATGACGTGTTGACATCAGTGAGTCTTTGTCGCTGAGGTGCGATTCATGTCTCCCAAAAGTTCTTACACTTCTGCAACTATCCCTGCCAGTCTGCTGGTTACTGGACTCGCAAATCAAAAAATCATATCTATATCTACAGAGATATGTGGGGCTAAAACACCTTGGCCATGGTGGTGATACTGACTGAAGATAATACGACTGAGACATTATATTATGAATACTAACACAAGGATACACCCTGTGTTCCTTTTAGTGCAATCAAATAATATCAACCATTCTGTATAGTAAGTATTCTGTCCTTCATTAGTTTCAATGCGTTCTCATCAGAAACTTAACAGTCTTCTAGTATTTCTTTTCCTGTGGGCTTTTGCAATAATCTGTAGATTTCTCTTGGTTCTCCGACAGACAACTTGTGTATTTATAAATAGCGCACGCCACAATTTCACACATTTTCATAGAAAAATAAACTCTTTTTTTCATTGAGAAAATGAAGAGTATCAGTTGATCACTTGTATTCTTTCAAATCACATTTAAAAAAAGCATCATATATACACATGTACGCGGAGATAATCATAAATGCATGTAATCCTAAGGCAAGGGTGAAAGACTTTTCTAAAAAAAAAGGTTAGGTATACAAATCAGTAACAATAAAGCATAATTTTTAAATAACATATTAAAGGTGAATGAACATTAATTTACAACTCACAATGAGACGTATTCTGCATAACAATCCTATTATGATTTTTTTTCATTTAAACACATCCTATTATTTATACTATAAGTAAGTATAAGTATTGATTAGTTGAAATATATAAATCCACAACTAATCAGAATAGACTGTCGAAACAGAATAGATAATGAATGCGACAAGTGTTTTATAAATATCCAATACCACCAGTCAACAGACATTACTGGAATTCCTGTTGAATAATAAATGTCAGCGATTCTTTCATTGTTAGGCATAAAACCAGTATGATTATTGTTGTTAACAGTTGAAGTAACAATATTATGATCATGAATATTATTGTTGTTGACAAGTGGCGTAGTCATAGCAACGCCAACATTAACACCACTGGTGTCTGTACTCCTAGTATGAAAATGGTGATTAGTTGCATAAGTTGTAGAAGAATGTGAAATATATTCATTTCCTAAAATTAATAACTGTGGATTTATAATCTTCATAATTAATAAACAAATCTCATTTGTAATTAGATTAATTAATAACCAAATTATAAATTTTGACTTCATAATTTGATAGGAAAAACACTTCACCATTAGAACTGGTAAGCATAACAATGCAAGAAAATTTTCAATCATTTCAAAACAGAATGTTGAAATAAGCAAATATTTTAGAAATAATAATTCATATCGATGATTATACTGATGATGCTGGTGATGAGGATTAATCATCTTACGTGTTTGAAGAATAGACGAAATAGGTAGAATAGATGAAACAGGTGTACTGGAAAGATAACTACTTTTAAAATTCTGTTTACCTGGAATTGTAAACTGTAGGAAAATTTCAATAATTTGTATTAAATTATAACATACAGAACCGGTTAACTGAAATAAAAGTAGAAAGTGAAGTAGATTTGTTTTAAACCAATTGAAATTTTTCAATAGCGCGCGCGGATAATTTAAAATTCGTTTCAACTGTCTATCATGATTTAGCAAATAAGATAGTATAATAGTCTGTAAAGCTGTTGATAATAAAATAAAAAAATAATTTAAGTAACAAAACAGAATTTGTAAATAACTATCTAACTTATAAGAAAATAAATGTATACTCAACAAGATTATCGATAGTAGACTGAGTGTACCGAACATATATGGCTTCTTGAAATACGAATAGCAATGCATTTTCTTAGAAGATGGTGATGAAGGGGAAGGTAGTTGTGGAGCTGGTTGTTTCGTATCTTGTGATGCCGACGACGATGATGATGATGATAACGAACAATTATCTTTCTCCCAGTGTACAAGACGGTGTCGTTTACTTCCTTTTCCAGAATCTAGAACAATGTTAACCAGTTTCTGAACATTCCAAATAACCCAAAGCAAAACTGTTTTGTAGTAGCATTGGATTGGAGAACGAAAATTAACATAGAGGAAAACAAAAATTAAGTGGTATCAAGAGTTCCCAAAACATATTTATTAAAAAATAATTGTCTTATTTGTTAAATAATTTGAATAAACATTTGTTTACGCTCAATATCAAGCTTCCTCTAATCTGAAAAAATTATTTTCTGCCTCTGATGTATCAATTAAGAATCACTTTTCAGATAATTAAACCAAACAAATAAACTGAAGTTCTTTTTTTTCAAGTGAAGCAGAGCACTCTCTGAATGTATATTTCGTAGTATATCACTTAAAAAATATGAATTCACCAAAAGTCACTGGTCACTTAAAACAACGGGAACTTTATGTACAAAATGAACGATTCTAGCCATTATTACAATCCTGGCCTACTGTGCAGCTTGCAGTTCCTTAAATACTTTATTGAGCAATGCATTTTAGTTGTTACTATCTGTCCTACATATATGATTTCTTCCTGTCTCTAACTTATAATTACACTTATACAAACAAACTTTTATTTCCTTAGTTTCTCCTCTGCTATTCTCCTACCCTCTGGTACAAACAAATAACCTTCTATCTCAAATTTTGCTGCCTATTTTCCATGTTATGATTTAATCAAATGAAGTATGAACAACTAGGTACTGAAGGTACATATTATGATATGATCATGAGTAATAAATTGTTTTTAAAACGTCATTCTGTTATCCATACTGTATCACTGTGCGATATCAAATAAACTCACTCAGTACAGGCTGAATAAAATGCAGTCATGAACAATATTACATATATATTTATACATTCACTGTTATTTACGGTAATCGGCCTCGATATCTGCCATTCAATTAAGTAACATATTTATGCCTAACATCATATACACATAATTTAACTGTTATCTAGTTACAATCTATTCACATAAATATCATCTTGGATTTCTTATCCTAGTGATATGATGTTATTTAAAAGCACATTAATGTTGTCAATAGCAATTATTTCTAATAACTATTATGGATATCAAAGCAGTTTTACGAAATGTCTTTCTTCTCAGAATAGGGATTGTTTTCTTCACAAAGCAATTTTGTAACTGCTATTGAAGCTCATTTCAAATAATTCATGAAGTAATGAAGAAATGATAAACCGTGCCGAAGAAATCTCACTACTGGCACACATCAGGCAGAGTGGATTCGATTCCACAATGACACACCAGTAAGATAAGTATTCACTATCTGGCTGTTAACTGTACAATAATCGCGGAGAATCCAGATGTAATTAATTTCCTTGTGAAATCACAGAGGTCTCTTTTCCTTTTTGATTACAGCTTGATTCCACACCGTATGTTTTGGTACAGGTATGGAATTTTCAGCATGTGATATCGGTAGCCCAAATTTTGCAGGCCAACCATAGATATCAGGTGTGCGTCAGCAGGGGATCGAACCCCGGACCATGTGCATGGTTGGTGAGAGTCCTAACCACTGTGCTACCGATGCACGGTGGTCAATGTATAACATCCTTGAAGATGTTTTCAGGTTAATTTTGCATTTCTCTTTGATTTATTATGCTGAACTGAAATGCTTTATCTCTGCTAATATGCTGACTGCTACTAAAGACTCTTCGACTGTGCTTAAGGATTAATTTAGAGTTATTTCTGTTTGCGGTAATTAGCAGTAGAATGCAGATGCATGTAGTGGACCAGTCCCGAATAGGACGAAATGCGCAACCTGGATTTCACCGCTAGTTACCACCAAACGAAATATATCCTTGAAGATACTTATTCAAATAGGGATTCATTTCATGTGATATACATAATACTGTACTCAGTATGACTAGTACTGAGTATATAATACAGTATCACTGAGTATCATACCAAATGAACTAACAGATTATAGAATCACATCCCATCTTAAAGCATCTTCATATATAAGATAAAAGTACTTGGTTAGCACAACATGGCTTTAATCAACTTATGTAAAATTCACAAATGCATGTATATAAACGTCTAACTTACCTACAATGAATAAATGTGAGTGAGCGACAGCGTTCACTAAATAGGCCTTTGGATTGCGATTCACTTCTAAAATCCATAGTCTGTCCAATTTTTCTGAGATCATAGGAGATCATAGGTGTTTTATTAGTGCAATGCACGTGGATTCATATTGATAAGAATTAAAGAAAAGAGTCATAATTGTATTTAATGTGATTTTATGTGGAATCAAGAGAAATTTGTTTTTTTTCAGCGGAACTACTTATTTATAGTCAGTAGAGTGAATAGGTTTACATAACTTTATATGCAAATCTTGGTTCTGAATTTCAATAGATAATTTTGGTACCTTTCAAATTAGGATCATTTGGTAATAAGACAAACTTGAAAATATTTATTAAGTTCAACCTTGGATGAACAAATAAGGCACAATTCCCGATAACATGACTTCAAAAGTGATCGCATAGAATCCGTTTATGCTTTCACTTTATTATGTATTTTGCGAATAATTTCTAATCGATACAACTGTTGCCTGATCGAAATCCCAGTGAAATATTTTGTGATAATATTTTTTGAACGGCACAGAAGCACCAAACACGCAAACATGTACCCACCACTGAAACATTGAAAGGAAGACATCTCCTATTAATCTTTACCTACTTTCTAGACTGCAAATATGGAAGTTTATCTTGAGAGCTTCTTTAATTCACCCATGGTTGAAACTATGGATACATATTGTACTGTATCATAGTAGGAGGTGCATGTAGTTTGTTAGTGTCTCTGCGCAAAGCTATACCACAGTGAAATTTATTACGATTGCAGTCGGACTTCAGTTAAACTGCGTCTCACATTTCAACTGTTGCAATACCTAACAAATCGTTAATATTACTGTGTCATTAGTTTCTCAACGTTCAATTTCCATCAAATCTTATGACAATTAAGCCAGGTTCATAGACATCTACCTTTGAAGTCTAATACTTTAGCTGATATAGCTATGTTTGTGACAATAATGGTAGTAATTTGATGGTTCTAATATACTGTATTGATGTAAGAGTAAGCACTCAGTGCAAGTTATGAACAGTTTTCATCTCATCAGTCGAGTATATGAAAATTACAGCGAACACTAATGGAACCAGCTATATTAGGTCTAATTGCTGAAGGCTATATGCACGTTTCGAAACTACAGCTCTACAATAATCAAATAAAAGATCCGAATACATTATGTAATTAGACGACTAAGAAAGTACTCAAAACCTGACCAATAACCTCGTCAGTGACACCAAAATAAAAGAAGACTAATCGTAGTGCAGTACTTGAACTTTGAACATATCTGCAGGATTAGGAACATGAGTGTACAGAAAGTGAATTCATACAAATCAAGTCATCAGTTATAACAGGAACAATCTGAAGTCGCTGTTACACTGATTATACACTTTGGAATTAATATTTCTCACAGACTCATACACACTTCTTTCGATGATACTTTGAATAAAACATCCAGTGGCTAAAGGAGACACTACACTAACCAAAACGAAATTCTTCTTACTCTCCATATTCATTAACACCGACTGGCAATCCAAAGACACTGCGTACATCCATTCATAACAATACAAATGAAAAACTACGGCTTGTAAATCAACTAGGAAAATGAAAAATTCTTACGAAAACGAAACATGGAGAATACATAGTAGTCAGACAAATTCACAATCAACCAATAAAGAAAACGCAATTTCAAGGTAATATCAAGTCAAGGGGATTATCAGTACAATAGAGGTGAAAACAACCATAAGGAAATCTCTTGAGCAACCAGTTACAGTCAGCCTCTTCATTCATGCGAAATTCAGACAGTCTACTTTAAAAAAAGATATCATTCTCAAGCTGTACAAACCGCAAATTTATAGTAATTTTTCTTGGCAACAAAAGGAATATTTCCAAAGATGTGTTAATGCAATTGTTAATTTTTTGACAACAAATTACGTAACTTAGAAGGCGTTAATCGGTTAGAAACCAAATAAAGTTACAAAGTAGTGGTACTACTATTAAGGTCATAAATGAAGAATTTAATAATTATAAAAAGGAAATTAATAGAGGTGGGGTAGAAATAATGCATAGAAAAAACAAGAGAAAGAGAACAAATACGTATTTGGTGTGAGATAGATCAGACCATTGTAGATTTAGTGACTGAACAAACTTCTTTGTATGCAGATCAGGATTCAATATAATCTTTGATAAAGCGGCACATACTATCACAAGAATTGTAGATGCAATGATAGCCACAGGAGTTATCCTTCACTTCGTGCGAATCATTAGTTCGTAGAAAGTTAGTCTGAGTCAGCTGCGAAGAGTTTATAGAGTTTTTTTTAAATTCGTGAATTGTAGATTCAAATAGAGAATTTTCTTGGGAGCAGTAAGCATGGACGGTTTTGTGTTTTGGGCTTCATAGCTTTTGTGATGAAACGTTCTGGGTAGCCGTTTTCAAGGAGGATTCTTTTCAGGGTCTTCAGCTCCTTTTCTATAGTTTCCGGACTGCAAATGTTGTGGATTCTGTGAGTCAGTGAGAGGATTAGATTTCGTTTTGTATATAGAGGTACCCAACTGTGAAAGCTGATGAGTTGTCCATTCCATGTCGGTTTTCTGTGAATGGATCTTTTGAGTATCCCATCTTGTTCGCGTCTTGCTAGTTGCACGTCCAGAAATGGTATTGTTGCGTTGGACTCCTTCTCTAGTGTGAACTGGATTGCTGGATGGCAACTGTTGAAGAAGTCCAATATGTTCTCCAAATTTTCCTCATTATTGGCGATAATAAAAGTATCGTCCACGTATCTCTCTCTATTTTGTTTTGAAATAAGCAGTGAAGCTATTCTGAAGAAGGACAATAAAAGCTCTACAAGTATATCGGATGTGATACGGATAAGGATGTCAAGCCCAAGATAGAAAAGCAACGCAGACTTTTATTACTCCGAAATAAGTGTGGAGATCTAGGCCACCCAGCACAAGGAACAAGAAACGAGTTTTTAACTCTAATGTTAAGTCACTATTTCTATGGGGTTCAGAGAAATGATGCATTAAAAAAGCATTTCCAATAGCCTGCTGAAGACTTTCATCACCAACTACCTGCACTCCACACTGGAGATCAAATACCCTGGCCGGGAAGGATAAACAATAAGGAATTCTGAAAATGAGCCAACCATGAACCTTTAACCACAAAAGAAAAATGGAGATAAGTTAGACACATGCTAAAGACATTGTTGAGTGACATCACAAATCAGGAACCAGTGTAACCCTAAGTGAAAAGCATGAGTTAGGTGTCCAAAGGATCATGAAGGAAATCGTGTGAGTAGAAGATGAGAGCTTGTGAGCAGCCGTGGAGCTAACTAAAAATGACTGCAGAAAAAAGACTGCAATTGGGATCTGCTTTTGAAGTCTAATGTTCCACTAGGAACCCAGAGGACAAATAGAAATAATATAAAAATTGGACGTGGATTAATGATTATATTTTATCACATACTGTCAAATGATACGCATATTATTTCACCCCTAATATAAAGTGATAGTGCTCACATCAATGATTAAGGTGATTCAAGGACTATACAATAATTTTACTCGTTTAACTCAAGGCTATCTGAATATCACTCGAATTAATTCGATAAAGAAGACTAAATCGTTCAAATCAAAACAATTTTGATCATTTACTTACATAGAAGTATTATCCTGCATAAGATTTTCAGTAGGATCATTTACATGCTGATAAATTAATCTCATAAGGAAAGCATTTTATTCGGCAAAAACTGGATCACTGATTTTTTTATCGCTTACATAAACAGATGTTCATCTTCACTTTTTTGTTTTGTTTTTTTTCATCAATTTCAAAAAAAGACTTACTTCCATAAAAGTATAATGGCAATAATATTTTCATAAAATTGATACTCTGTTCCAATATCTGCACACATAATATAGATCAATGATATTTTATAAACTATAGAATTAATTTTATTAATCCGCGAATTTTGATCAAGAAAAATATTAGTACTTCGTACTCTATAGGCCACTTGTCTATAGATGCTTGAAAACAGAACGATTCTCATGTAGTTATTCCATATTTCCCTTGAATATTGCGAGACAAAGCAATCCAGATAAACAGAAGCACAGCTGAACTCTTTTCTCAAGGTTTAGATAAACACTATATATATATATACCATTTGTTTAGTTTTAGGCTTCAAACTTAAACACAACTTTTTTAGTGTCTATCAGCATAAATTATCTGTTACTTTATACTCAGCAACTTAGAGTGATGTGTTCTAGCTATCAAATTGACTTCATAGACATGAACTAAAGTAGTTCTAAGAGTTTTCTACAATACGCGGAAACCTTCTACAGTGGTTATTCAGGATATATTCTTCTTACATTAAACACCACCTGGGACAAGTTAAAGTGTTAGCTCCAGTAAGCACTAAAGGAGCGCGACCTCACAGATGACCTTAGAGCGCTTAGTGAGGAAGTTAGTGAAGCCAACCAAATAACATTAGAATCATGAATAAAATATGCTTAATGAGGTGTTTGATATTAAACGGGATATGTGGTAATTTTTCGTTAGGTTTGGGAAAGACTACACTTAGGGATAAGGATAGATCAGGGTTAGATTAACCTGATAAGGAAGATATTACGATAGGTTCGAGTTGTTTTATTTATTCTATTTATATTTTCTTATAGCTTGACTCCACACAATATTTTTTATACAAGTATGTAATTTTCAGCATGCGATATCCGTTGGCTTAGAGTTAGGTATAGTTTCGCGTTAGGATTAGAAGACCTAGATAAATACATGTATAGAATATGATATCACCACTCTGCTGACGCTCCAGTGCAAAGCTGGGGGGCATTTTTGTAAAAGTTTAGAGAAATTTATCTTGTGTAACAGTTTCATGCCTTTCATTCATTATTTTGATAAATACCTTGATGCCTTATACTCAAAAATCGCCGATTTTCCCGTGATTGGTGCGTTGAAGGTCATTTGTCCATTGGTGCTTACTGGTACTTAAAGTTTAATTTGTTCATCACTTATGTAATAAACATCTCTAATTTCAGCATTATGCGTCGGTGTCACATCGGTAGAATGCTCGCCGACCACGTATGTGGTCCGGGGATCGATCTCCTGCTGACGCACTCCTATACTTCGCTAAGTCAGTAATTAGACTAGTGAAAAAGAGAGGTTGAGCATAAGGTTAGCAACCCCATCCCGTAAAAGTAAACACCACTGCTACCGAAATTTCAGGCCTCTAGCTTGAAGCCCTACGTTCGACTGGGAACGTAAAGAAATAAAAACATTTCAGTATTATAAAAGAGTCACCTGTTTTCAAGATCATTTCTTTGTAACATTGGTCCCCGAAAATAAATCAAGACGTGAGAAAAGAAGTAGTAATAAGCTGTTGTTAGGTGTCGCTAAGTGAAATAAACATGAATTCCGTTGATTCTTACTATAAAATATTTGTAGCCAGAAGGTCCTAGGTTCAAGCTCCAGTGGGTGAATCCTGTGAAGAGTCCCAAACTAGGACGAAACTGCTGTCAGTACTCCCAGGTTTTCCAGTTGTTCTCTAACAGATTTCAGTTCATGATGAAGTCCTGAAAATATTTTAAGTTGCCATGTAGCCTAACTCATGACTTTTGTCATTTTATTTCCAATTATGAAGTTTTCATTTATACACACGCATACTTTATTTTTCTTTGCTTTTCACTTTCAGTAGCGGTTGTATTGCTTCATCACGGCAGTGGGTTCCTAGCCCCATGTCCACCTTTCAGTCATTTTTCTGAGCCTACAGCTGGATTGTAAACTAGGTTAACCGGAAAGGATAAGCAGCATAGAACTATGGCAGACGGCAAACCAGTCAACAACCTATTGGTCAACAAATATGCAGAGGACAGTGAAGATGGATTGGACCATTCAGTTGCATTACGTGACAGACTCTTGAGTTGAATCCAAGTGTTGAGACCTGAAAGATGGTGATCTATGCTTGCGAAGGTTGAAGTCAAAGGAAACTCTGGTGGAGGACCGTAGCAATTCTGACGTGCAAATTGATCATATAACGTGAGTATAGGGGCGAAAGACTGATCGAACCATCTAGTAGCTGGTTCCCTCCGAAGTTTCTTTCAGGATAGCTGGCATTCTGAGATATAAACAGTTTTACCCAGTAAAGCGAATGATTAGAGGCATCCTCAACCTATTCTCAAACTTTAAATGGGTGAGAAGCCTGACTCGCTCAAATGAAGTTTTGCATTGAATGTGAGTGCCAAGTGGGCCATTTTCGGTAAGCAGAACTGGCGCTGTGGGATGAACCCAACGTGCGGTTAAGGTGACTAACGCGATGCGTGAGTCCAAGAGTGGCATGGAGGAGATCATGTGAAGAGAAAATGGAAGCTTGTGAGCAATCGCTGAGTTAGCCGACTGAAATGGAGATGTCCCACCGACTCCATAGGTTTCATTCACAAGTCAACGAATAAATAATGAGAAATGTTATTTACGTAGAGAAACATTGATTTATGTTTTCATGTTAAATAATATTTAAAAAGAAATTAAATCGAGGCATGGGCTTACCTGCTGAATAATCATCAGTTTCTTTTGTTCTGTTCAGCATATATTCATGGTAGTGTTTGAAATAGTTTTCTGTGCTAATATACGTTACGTAAAACCAACCGATTAGATTTGCAATTATAATATGTATAAATAAGAATCCATTAGATAATTTTAGAGATTTCTGATATACCTATGATGAGAAATAATAGAATGACACAGAAATAAATATCACCTGTGAATAAAGAAGTACAAAGTGAAAGAAATTTTTTTTCTTGAACTATTCTTGGACATCCTAGGTCATATAATCTTTGCATTAAGCGTCAAGAATGCAAAAGTGTGAAATTTCCTAACATGACAGTCATAGTATTAGCATGAGAGTCAGTAGTGACGACTTAAGAGACTATAATTACACTCACTGGTCAATTTCTAGTTTCATAATTTTGAATGCAACCTTATCTTAGGGATAAACATAAAGTAGGTTTAACGTTGAACTTAAGAAACTTACTATAGACAATTACTGTCCCCCAGGAAGTATGGTTTTAAACGTGATAAACGTAGAGAATAAACTCGTAGACTAGAACTCTCAAAACTAGGACAACTAGGCAAGTGTTACTAATACTCATGGCAGGGGAGGGGGGCAGAGTAAGATGCGTTCAAATCAATGAATTTTTTTCATCTGTTAGTTTTACAAGGGAAATGTCTGCAAATATCCATTTGTACACAGTTTATTTCGTCTCTTTGCTACAAAACTAATGCTACCGGAAGTATATCAAATGTAAAGTTTGCTTCTGTTTTTGAAGCAAACAAGAAAAAAAATTCTTTTTTTTGCCTGAATAGAGTGAAATAACACACAATATTAAAAGGAATTGTTGTCACTATTTTTCTTACCAGAAGGTAAATACTGGAAATCATGCGGTTACATTGTTAATTTTAACACTGAATATTAAAGAATCCTGAGAAAGTGAGACTAAATTATGAAGTTACTTAAAAAGAGACAATCATTCAACAATGCATTTTGGATTATACGTTCTAAACATCGAGTGGTAAACTTTTTCGTTCGAAGGCTTCCCCTTTACGAAATTTCCTTGATAGTTTAAGCTTAATTGATACACATATCCAGTAATCATTGTATTATACTTGTATGAAGAAAAAAGAGGTGTCCGTGGCTCAGTGGTACAATGTTCGTCATTTTTGCATGCGGCCGACGGATTCTTAAGGCTCGTCTAACAGATAGTAAGCGCAGAAAAGACGGAAGGTTGGGTATGAAGCCAGAAATCCCACCGCGTGAAAAATGACACCATTTTTCAAGAATCGTTAAAGCTCTATCCCTAAGCCCTATGCTCCACTTGGAACCCGAGGTATAGAAAGGAAAGAAAGAGTAAAAGCGATAAGCGATTTCAGATATCAAGTTAATGGAAGTTTAATCTTAATGTGAATAAAACACCTACTCATTCTATTATTTTTAAATATATTTACTTGTTTTACTGTATTCCTTTCCACTGACAACACTTTTTACACTTACCCGTTTTAATCGAATTATAAATGGTATTTGTATCACAATTAACAGAATCCATAATGCATTATTAATTAATTGTAACCAATAAGTGTAGATAATCTGTCGTTGAAATAAGTCAATAGTTTTATTTATCGGATTATTCATGATTGTATCATTCATAGTATTATTGTGATTTATGATTATCATTGGACTGGCTTTATATCTTATCAGACTATCAGTAATTAATGTATTTCTAACAGTATTATTATTGTTGTTGTTCTCTGTAGAACTGCTTCTCAATTCACCAGGTAAATCTCTTTCGTTATAATGTTGATAACTACCATTCATTGCGATATTATTCTTATTGTACTGATAAGCATTCATATTTGTATACTGACTCCAAATGTTGTTAAGTAATGACGATTGCTGAAAACGATTCAAATCAGTATTCATTATATTATGGAGTATTTCAAGAAATTTGTCTGTATAATAGATAATGCTGACTAGGCTTCCGACTACAATGAAACAAAATACACACAAAAAGAATAGCAAAGGAATTAGATAAATTCAGTGTTATTGGGAGTCATTCTAATCTGAGATAAAATTTCACTGTGGCAAACTATACATAACTAAGGTATTGACACTGAATCATATGATATGCTAGTGTGATATGTAGGTGATATGAAGACTGAATTTTTTTCTTAGCACGCTACAGTTTTGTTTAAATCAGAGTGTTTTTTCCTAGGAAGTATTGAAGTTATTGGGAAGATTAAGTATATTTTCAAATGTCATTTTGCTGGGATTTGATTGATTTCAAGTTTGCCCGAGAACTGGCCTGAAGTTCGTGCGATGGATTCCTAGTACGGCCATGGGTATGTACTGCTGAAGAGTCTCAGACATGGACAAAATAACCGTCCAGTAATCCCTGGTTTTCAATAGTTTTTTAAATGAAGTCAGTTCGTTATCAAACCTGATGTTCAGTGAAATAACATCGGAAACTATTCAGTATGATGAAAGAAAGTCGCAAAAACCAGTTAAACAAAAGTGAAATGTTAAACCTGTGGTAAACTCATCGACCAAGTACGCACTCCTGCTTGATTTAAGATCAGGCTTAAATTATTCAACAGCCAAAGTTTTTGCTATTTTAAAAAGTTGCAAACGAATGATAATAATATCAATAACACGACAGCAAATCTTAAAATCAATCTTGGACTAGTAAGATAATGATAATCTATCCAGTGTTCCAGAAACGTTAAAATGTATAACCTTTTAATACCACACTGGGATATATTCTCGTATGCTTAGTACTAAATCACTTGTAAGAAGTATCTTTGTAGAGTAGTTTAAAATTTATTTTGTTAGCAAATTTAACTCAATAAGTCGCATCACGAAGTACCACAAAAATCCGTAAATTTCAGTAGACTCTTGTGTTAATCGGTTGGAGGATTTCTTGTGTTAATCATTCCTCCTGCATGCATGTGTGGTTCAGTGGTAGAATGCTTGCCAACTAGGCACGTCGTTCGGGTTTGATTGATAGCCAATGAGCATCTACACCTTGCTTAGCAGGTAGTAAACCCATTTACGAGGGAACGTTGGGTGTGATGCTAACAACCCAACCCCATGAAAACAACACCACTACTAATTAAACTTCAGCGTTCAAAAACTTGCAGCTACAATTTCCACTCAGCACTCTAAGGAATGGAAAAAATGTGGCTTTGCACAAAACACATTCATACACACTACATACACACACATACTTACAAAGACAACGAAAATCAAGATACCATTGTGTTTAGTGCTACTTATAATCAGATATAAGTAGTATATAAGTAAACGAATTCAGAAACGTGACAATATGTTTTGGGGCACTGGAAAAAGCAATCGAAGAAGCAAACTGTGAGGAGAACGTTACAATACTGTGCAGAATCCGACAAGCTATCAAATTTGGTGATATTCAACCAATTTGCAAATGATGTACAAATAAAGACTTAAAGGCAAGGTACACCAAATTTGTGTACCTGGAATGCGTTTGTCCTAATAAACATTGCCTTCGAGCCTCCTTGATCTTTTCTTCTTTACACCATCAAGTGATGCTTGCCTACGAATGGTATTTCAGAAAAATCAAAGAGAGCTATGGAGTGTATGAAGGAGGACATAAAAGATCAGGAATGAATCCTCTTACATATGTTTAAATCTTGGACACTATCATATTAACTTAGTTTATTTATTACATATATATCATACAGTGAAACAGTATTACTATTTTGGATATCGTTTTGAAAATAATTTGTTGTTCAAAGTGACTATTAAATATATTTTTACGACTCTGAAACTTGATTTATCTATTCCTAGGTCTTTTGGGGAGACAACATGGGAAATAAGCGTCGATCGAGAGGTGATTTGGAAACTATTTCGCTACTACGGCGTGCCGCCAACAATTATACACCTCATCCAACAGTTGTACGACAATGCTGCATGCAAAGTAATCCACAACGGGAAACTCATGGAATCCTTCGAAGTGAAAACGGGAGTAAGACAAGCTGACTGTCTACTATCTCCAATGATTTTCCTGATTGCGGTAGACTGGATAGTGCGACAGACAGCGGCGGGCAGCGAGGAGACAGGCATAAAATGGACCCACACAAAAACTTGGAAGATCTGGACTTCGCCGATGATATATGCCTAATTTCCCAAAAACTGGAAGATATGCAAGTGAAAAAGCAACAAGTTGGCAGAAGAAGAATCCAGAGAAGATAGGACTTCAGGTGAACAATGAGAAAACGGTGATGAAGATTTCCGGCCAACAGCAATAGCAACAGCAACAGACAACAATCAGCATAAATGGGATAAATCTGGAAGAAGCAACCTCCTTCACCTACCCACTACCTGGGAAGCATCGTTTCAACTACAGGCGGACGGAACTGATGAGGATATCAAAGTGAGGATCGGGAAAGCAAGGCAAGCTTTCATTTCTATCAAGTCTGTGTGGAGATAGATCAACAGTACTCAGCATGAAAAATAAGATCCGGATTTTCAACTCCAATATGAAGTCAGTGCTACTTTATACGGATCAGAGACTTGGCGCGTCACTTAGGGCACTTCGAACAAACTACAGACCTTCATCAACAGCTGCCTTCGCTAAATACTCAAGATCACATGGCCAGCCAGAAAAGATCAGCGACAGGAAGAGATCTCTGGGAATGAACTAACCCAGCAGGAATCAATTGTGCAACAAATATGCAGGAATAAATGGAGTTAGGTGGATTGACCATACTCTGAGAAAACAAACCATCAAATGACATCACACGACGGGCCATTGCTCGAGTGGAACCCGAATGGGAAGTGGCAAGTTGGTCGTCAATGCGAGGGTGACATGGAGGAGGTCATGTGAAGAGGAGATGAAAGCATGAGGGCAGGCTTGGAGCCATGTGAAAACGTTGGTAGAGAACCGAACTCAATGAAGACGTTCGTCTGAAGCCCTGTATTCCTCTAGGAATTAAAGGAAACAATATTAATAATCCTTAGATTCTCATAAGTCAATGAACTAATTTTATATCTTTAGGGCTGTATAGTACTATGTATTACAGAATTCCTGGTAACTGCTAGACAAAAACAATTAGCAAGTTTCGTGAGACTAATAATAACCATGAAATCATGACAGGAAGTGAATATGATTAACAATAAAATATCATTAAAATTGTTCTAATTTGTGGTAGAAATGAAAAACTGTTATAAAAAAATCATTAAATAGTAAACTTACTATAAAAACATCCCTGAATTATATATTCACAATTTAGATTTAGTTTAGGAGTGGTCTGAACTATCTTCAAGTGACGGTTACTATTATTATTATTATTACTGTTATCATTCTTAATATTAGAATACATGCTGCGTTTCTGATTACTGAATCCAACTTGAGGTTGTGTTATTCTTGTATTTTCAAAGGTCAAAAGTTGATAATACTGTGAATTATCCGGTTGAGAAGTGTTGCTTATTTCCTTGGAGCAGGTAAGAGTTTTACTGTCCTGTTTTACATCACTCTGATGAATGACTCGATGTGATCTGTGATGTTCAGCCCTATTAAATGTGACTGTCTGATTCAATCCGCGTCTCAACAATAGGTTAGTTGTATAATTCTGACCATAATGAAATCGATAAACATTGTGTCTACTGCTTTTTACGAGACAACAGTCACAAAATGAACAACATGTTTTGCAATAATTGGAAATATAAAATGTCACTAAATACACAAGTTGTCCAAGCAGCAGAAAATTAATGAGAGCCTGCAAGGTAAATAAAAGAATAAACGGCAGGTAGCATTAAGTTAAATTACGTGATTTAGATGCTAACAGAAGCTTATACATATATATATATATTTATTACCGACTGATTTTTCGTCTTTCTCTTTTGTCGATATATTTTATTTTCCTTTGTTGATCTAACTGAACTGATTTCTTATAAACACATTCCCCTTTGTAAATTTGAATAAAGCAAGAACGACAGTTTGTGTAGAATAAGATGCTATCATCATCAAGCGAATTCATCGATCTCTACTAATGCATGGGGTCTTTCATAACATTTGGTCAATACTGTTAATCAGCAGAATCATGAAAGCGCAGTTTTTTATTCGACAATTATCGGTTGAAAGTATTAGGATTATAGAAAATTGTCACTCCCTAAAACTTCAATATAAGCAGGCCAGACACACTGGAATAACCTGGGAACGATACATTTAACAAATGAAGCTGGGAAATACTTTATATGAGATAATACGGATTATGCAATATTTAGTAGATATTGTGTCGTATTGTTTGTACATTATGTATCATATGTATTGTCTATTTATATATATATGTATATATTTATATAACATTACGGCGTGCAAAATAAGAATCCAGCTGAATAATGTCAAATGAAACCTGCGTATGACTCCTGAGATTTCTTCAACAAATAGTCCACTTGGGATGACGCAAGTGACAAATCGCCTCTATTCTCCTAACTGAACTGCTGTTCAATTTACTCTGCCTAATCTTCTAGCTATCTATCTTGAGAAGTTTCTAAAGTTCTATCCTTATCTGAATTACCTTCGGTAACCATATTGTTTTGGGATTTGTTTATTTAATAAGCCTGAGCAACTAATGGCAGTTAGCCAGTGCTGCTACCTTTTCATAGTCTCTGGCTTTTGTCATCTACAATCATTGTCAATAGATGCGGAGACTTTTTGATCAGTTCCTATATTTCGTTGTTTATGCCGTGAACAGGCTTAACTGCCTTTGTTGTAGTTGTGTTCTCTGAGCTTCGGTTTGGATTATGCGCTGAAGACGTTGTCTGAAAAGACAGCGAAAGCTTCTCAACGAAACCATCCAGCTCACCAATAACATCCATATGAACTACAAATCTTCTCTGTCATGTATGAGTCTCTTTTCATCAATCAGTTTGAATGAGGTACAGAAATCCTGCAGATGATCAGCTGTCTTCACTACTGATTCTAGGATTGACCGAAGGTGATACAGACTTTTTCAGGAGAAGCATTGCTCTCATACTCAGATATATGCTTTATTACCTCCTAAAAATACAGACGCCATATTTTCTCAAGATACAAACTAGCACTGCTAACTAACGAAACCAAAGGCATTAGATTTAGTCAATTTATGTTACATGTACAATCCATTTAAAATATCTTAAATGTGACGATAAGCAGGTAAGAAAAACGGGATTTTTGCATGTCTATGCGTCCATAATATACTTTAATTATTAAAAACTATATTTCGTTTGAGCTTTACTTTGACGGAAGGATGAGACCGCTATGTAAGAAATGAAATATGAATCTGTTGTAATAAAAATTGATTTTAATGATACTTTCTTGAAGTTGAATGCTATATAACTCGGTAGACTAAATTTTTTGATGTTCAATTCCTTTATGATTTATTTCACCGAAACGTTTTAATTTAACTGTAATACGCTTTTGTTTTGTGGCTTTCCGATAAATGCATTAACAGTTAACATTTTTGTAACTGAATGACAGACAACGATGTTTTTAATTTTCAGAGTTCTATCATTACAGTAGATAAAAGTAAAAGAAACTGTTACTCTCTTTAGCGATACTTTTCTACATAAATTTTCAATCTTGATAGTGATATTTTATCAGTCGAAATAAGACACATTGATAATATACGGAACAAAAAATTTAAACCATACAACAAAAGTAAAATGTTGCTCCTCCTCTCGAGTTATATGAATTTTGACACGTTTAGTGGATAAATAATATCGTATTCGCCAACCCTTCACAAAGTCTTTGCAGCATATTTGTGAAAAGTACTTAAGTAGGATGAAGCAGTAATATTCCTCTTAATAAGCTGAGCGATAAAGTAGGTATTAATTATGCCGTGCTCAGAGTTAGTCAATAAAGTCATGAAGCTTCATCCACTAGAGTAGCTAGGACGTGTTCTACACATGTTGGACGATCAACTCTCACAACAGTCACCGTCAGCTCAAGCAGAATTAAGCTGATTATTATTTAGAAATGGTTACACGGAAGTATCATACCACTAATTGTTGTTCTGAGTCATATACGAGACTCCTCGAGATGTTAGAAACCATAGGTTTTGATATATTCTTGATGTGGCTCAAATTTGCATAAAATGACTCAAATTTATTCGTTCCTAATCGTCTTCTAGATCCGGAAAATCTTCAGTATGCTTCAATGAATTATTCTCTTCACTGCATCCATTTATGTCTACTGTAGTATTGCCATGTATCTCTTCCCCTGTTTTACAAAGTATAACAACGTGAACTGACACATTTCTGTATCACGGTCTACATTAATCAGTCAAACAGTCAGTTCTCTGATTTTAAGTGATAATGCTGATGCTAATCCATGGGAAATTCTTCAAGATGTTGATCAATCCTCCAAAAATCTGTTAGTCGAACCATGAAATAAAACTTTTGATCTCTGATTATCATAAATTAAGAAATGGAATAATTCATCGCCTTAGATTTACACCAAAATGGAGCATTTTCATCTTAGCAATTAGCAGGCAAATTAAGTTGACAGAAGTTAGAATTCATGGGCTATTAGATTCCGTCCCAGTAGCTGAATGGTCTCGTAACCCGATGGTCCTGGGTTCGATCCCTGATGAGGTGATGGGTGTGTACTGCTGAAGAGCTCTAGTTTTCAGTTGTTCTCTAACTGGTATAAATGCATCATTAGACCTAGCACCATTCAAATCTCCACGTGATTGTAAGAAGTCAGCATTCCATTTGCCAAAATAAATTTTTCAAGATAGAGCAAAGCACACATTCAAGAATATACACGTAATCGCGAATCAGTGAACCTGAAATCTGTCAGCTCTTCAGTTATTTGTCAATGTTTACGTGTTTGGATGGAATTACACTTTGTTAAAATAGACAAGAGAAACATGGTATTTCAGAGGAAGGAAATATGTTATAACAGTGCTTAGAGACAGGCATAAACACTGAATAATCGACTTTCAGTCTTATTCCAAGCGGTTATTAAGAATCGATCCCAAAATCATCAAATCTCGTTGCCAGATTATCCGTAAACTGGAACCGGAGTACTTACTTTCCTCAGTGCTTGCTGCTTACACAAAAGTTCCAGGTCCACTGGCCTACTTCTAACTATAAATATTTTTATGCAGTTCACCTTTGTCTTGCTGAATATTCTTCATTCCTTGATCCCCATAATACATAATAATCTTCAATCATGATGCAGAAACTTCAGGTAAGATAGGAAAGCGAGAAAAGGGGTTACAGTTATGGTGTTTTTTGAGCACAATAGGACAGAACAGTGTTGATACTAAATAATATCATAAAAAAAGCATTATTGGAAGTTTTTATATTTAACAGCTGATTGTAAATAGTTCACACTTTTATATGTACTTTGTCCAGAATAAAATCCATTGTAATGTTGAACTAGAAATGTGTGTGTGTTGAGGGATTTAACGAGTTACTTTGATTGAGTCATAAAATAATCCGTAACATAAAATTCCAAAATTTAAAATAAAAGTGAATATTTTAAAGTAGAGATTGTAACTTACTTCTAAAGCCAATGACACTGAAGTATCTCCACTGACTTTTGCACAGACTAACAGAAATCCCATTGTGGTCAATAAGATACCATAAATCATCTTGATGAGATATTTAGCAGACTTACTAAAATGTTAAAAAAAAAGGGAAGCAATAAACGTACACACAGAATCTTCAGTGTTCAGTTTTAATGTAGTTAGTGAAATATCAACATAACGCCTGAAGAAAGCAGAAAAAATAGAATTCATTGCAACAGAATTTCATTGTCTCTTCATAACCGTCCCAGTGTTTTTTTCGGAAAATAAGGACAAACTACTTAATTTTACCTTCTTTATGTATGTCATCCAGTTTCACTGCTGTTGTTGACCGGTTACATTGAAGGTACAATTAAGCTTGTTGATCATAGGATTTCTGAACATCATCCAGCGCGGTTAAACAATGGGTGAACTAAATCTATTCTTAGCTCTGTTTTAGCTCACCTTGTAGACGTTGAACATGAAGTTGATATTAGCAAGGCATTTAAAACTATCAAGCGTATTCTGAAAGACCTCAATTTCACCTTACGAGTTCGTTTTTACATATAACTGGAGCCGTCGGAACAGAAATGGAGAAGACAAACTTATGAGACAATTTCCTCTTCCCCCTAAACCTTTTACTATTTATTATTATTTTAACTATCTTTAATTGTTACATAAATTTTCTTCTTAATTCCATCTGATATTCAACTCCACACTGTATTTTTATGCGTATTATTACTTACACTTGCTTATGAGCTGTAAATGTATTGAAAATAGATAAGACAGAGTCTACGGAGTTACCTAACCAAAAACAAGGAATTCATCCCTTTCACTCTTCTAGGCAGCATCGATTCAACTACAGGCGGCATGGATGAGGGCGTCAATGCCAGGATTATCAACGCAAGCCAGACCTTCATTAACCTGTAATCACTCTGAAAATTCATAGCACTCAGCATAAAGAACAAAATTCAGATTTTAAACGTTAATGTCAAGTCACTGCTTCTATATGATTCAGAGACTAAGCTCATTCGCTACCAAAAGGGCTCTCAACAGTCTGCTAAGGACTTCCATCATCAGCTGTCCTCTCTATACGTTAGTGATCAGATGGCTGGAAAATATTAGCAGTGGGCCAGCTAATAACCTGTAACCTAGAAAATATGCCGAAATAAGTGGGGATGGACGGGAAATACTCTGAGGAGCACATCGAGAGGCCTGGCCTTAAATCGGAAGGTGAATGGAAAACAACGAGCTGGGTTAGGGTTCGAGTGGGACATGGAGCAGATCGTGTGAGTGAAAAATATGAGCAGTCGTGGAGCCAGCTAATGTGGTCTGCAGAGAGCAGAGTGAAATGGAGATATGTTGCTCGGAATCTATTGGGAATCCAAAGGAATATTAATAATAACAGCAATTATCTTTGAAAAGAAACTACAAATTTAACTGGAAAAATGAAGATTTTTAAGTAGTACTTATAAATTCAGAAGGTATTCATTTTAATTCCTTGATAGGTTACTAAATATGTACATTGATAAATATCTAAACCACATGTTTAACCAATAACCTGATTGAAATATTCTGAAATTACGTAAAAATAATCTCATAGATTTTAGAAAATTAAAACAAGGTTTTTTTTCCTCTTTTCTGTTGTGTAAACCACAGCTTCTTCAAAAGATTTAGTCGGATTTTATTAATATACTTAAAGCAGTTTTATAATGTACAAATTTCTTTGGAATATTTACCAAAAATAAAAGCCGACCAAAACTAGAAAAATAATCTGATTAGAAGAAATAAACTTTAAAGAGTTTCTGTCGAGCTTGCGAACATTTATGAACCTATAGAAAGGCATGAAGAAATAAGCCTTTATGGGTGAAAATTCTGCAGAAAATACATGCTGCACGGCAAGTATTAAAAATCTTGAAGCCAACTTTAGTTGGGAAAAACTTTAATTCTTAAAAACCAATTCAACCACATATTTAATGGTACCTTTAATATACTCAAGGCTTTTCATTATTATCGACATGTTTTTGGCTAAAATATGGAATGTGTATTGTCTACTGCATATATTTACGCAGCGTTAAAATAAGAAACATCCGCGTTGTACACAAAATCCACACATGAACAAAGCGACTTTATTAAATAAGCTAATAGTGTGTGTCGATTGCTCAGCTGTAGGCGACTGGCCAATTATGCATGTGGTGCGGGGTATGGTTCCCGACCGACACACTCATAAACGTCGCTTAACCGGTAGTAAGCCATTTAAAAAGGGAAGGTTATGCTTGAGGTTAGTAACCCCACCCCTTTGAACCAGCACTGCTACTGAAAATTAAAAGCTCAACCTTGAAGCCCTATGTTCCACTCGGAAGGCAAAGGAATAGAATAATTAAATACTAATAGTGTTTACAAATCTCACTGTACTTCTTTTTCGTTTACTTAGGCAAAATTCATACAGTAGTAATTTCGGTCAGTCGTTAAAGTTAAAGCATAGAAAGATGTGAGTGAACATTGAGTAATGAGTATTAGTCAAACAGATGCATTAAATTACCTGATTTAACCTTTATTCAATAAACTCAGTCACTGACACGAGTTAACTATCTGTACTAATAGATTCATTTTCATCTTGTTAGTGTTTCAAATATATTCCAAATGATCAGATTTATATATACTTTAAGAAAAAGTAGTATTACAGACAAAGAGACAGACTGTCTCATATTTTATGCTCGGGAATTTTGGTCTTATTTTAAATGTAACTCAAACAGAGTCAGTGAGTGATAAAAACGTCTTGCATTCGAATCCTGTGGTAACGTTCGGGGTTTTTAGAGATTTTGACGGATTCCAATGTAGACTTCGTTTTAAATCAACCAAATCCCTACAAACTCAAGGATGCTCACTGACGGTTATGATGAGGTTTTGCCAAGTAGGTTCAGACAGACATATTGGGTGTTAAATTTGTGGTGACTACATGTTGTCACGAGCTGACAAAAGTTAGAATTCACAACCTATCGGATTTCAGTAAGGTTGCCGACTGGTTCGGTAGGCAAGCTGGATTATTCAAAAGTTCACAAGTTAATCGCTGGTGTGGTTGTTGATGGGGACTGCCGAAAAGTCGCTGATTAAAATTATATACCTGAACAATGTTCATGGTTCTCATGGATTCCTCAACTGATAATGATTCTTGACAGAATCTACAACGAGATTTTTACTTAGTGCGATCTAATGAATAACTGATGTAAAAACATTTCAGAAGTGTTTTGTTATTCAGAAGTTACCATAACTAGCTGACAGAATCAGATTTGACAGACAGATTTGAAGTAAAATTGCTCTACAAACTATGAGCTTCACTAAACTAAGTAATGGAGTACTGAAGGCAGTATCTTTAATTAATATATGCAAAGAATGTTAAAATTACTACTGCTTGTGGAAAGAAATGAAAAGTGACTTTACTATGGTTCTACTATTATCTACCAGCAGCAACCAAATTTATTTGCACTTTCGTTCTAAGCTGTCACCTTTTTCAATCAACCAAGTAACACAACAGTTCTATTATACTAATCAGCTGAAACTTACAAAAAGGTGTTATCACTTGGTAATAAAGATGCATAAAATTCAAAAGTGAAGAATGTTCTCCTTTAAAGCAAAGTAAGTATCTTCAACTCCTAGCTGATGCACATCTAAACGTTGTCTACTATACTATGTAGTAAAAATCTTGAAAATGAGAGTAGGCTAAGCGTGAGGCAAGCACCGTCGCTTTGTAAAAGCAATACCAGAGATACTAAAACTTCAAATCTTTGAGCTTATAGCTCTATGTCCTATTCTGAGGGCAAAGAAACGAAAAAATATATATTTTCGTAAATTGTTTATGTTTTTTACAAGGTATAGAATTGTTGTTTCTTTTCCATTAGTCAAGTAAACATTTTAAGGAGGTAAGAGAAGGTGAGTGAAAGAACCTTTAGACCTTGAAAAATTTCTCTCTGGATTATGAAGTAACTCTGTAGAGTAATCTGTTTACTTCAAGTTTTGAAAGATTTTTATTATATATATATATTCAATAATAATTAATTTAGCTGTTTCACTTTCCCACACCTGTCAAACAATACATTATTATAGTATTTGTTTAAATCTCTGATTAGCTAGAATATTGATCATGAAATTTAATAAACGGCGGTATGATTCAAAGTTTAATTTTCAGTCAGTAATAACGATTGAATAAAGCTAACTAATTAAGGTAATAAGACTTTATAATACACAAACTCAAATGTCAAGAATTCCTTCATGAAAGTCAAACAAGTGGATGAAGTATGTGAAGTAGAAAATCAAAGAAAATCAAGAAAAAAGAGACACGATTCACAAAAAAGAAGGTTAAAAAAAGTCAAAAAAATTTAATTTTCCCTCTCCTTCATTTCAATATTGCTTTTGCAAAAAAAATATGACAAAATTATAATTACTCATTTTATAGTTGAGATGGTATAAGAAATAAGTTTTGTTGAAATAATTATTATTTGCGTTTTTTCTCTCTCATTTTAGCTCACAAACGAAAATTATTCTAGCAAAAATAAGTAAAGAAAGCATCTCACTTTACACTTGTGTGTAAATATTCTACTTTTCATTTTAAAAATTTAGCGTTTTCTTCAACTCATACGCCGACCTATGCTATAATTCAAGCATTAGTTCTTTAGCGTTTTATAACTATTAAAAAAATATGAATTATACTCAACAAACAAATAAATGGCAATAACAATACCACAACTACTACCATCTATACCAATTGAGAGAGAAACAAAATAGAGGTGGGATAAACACAGTGTCAATAACAATTCTTGTTTTCGTTCTTTTCTCCCCACCCACCTCCATTGTTATTGCTTATTTTAGCTCTAAATAAACACCATATCAGAATGCTAAAATGTAAACAGAAAAAAACCTACGCACCTAATGAACAAAATAATTCTGTTTCCCCAATGAGGAAGTCAACAATAAAAATTCGAAGATTATTCAGTGTAAAAATTAACAGACTAGATTGTTTTTCCCCCGATTTTTCTCAGAAAAAACCAAAATTTTGTTTGTGTTTTATCTAGGAGAAGAACATATACTACGGGAGGAGTGATCGGGTTGAGGGAA